TATCATTTAGACAAGGGAGGCTACACCGACACAACATATTCCAAGTTTTAAAAAAGTGTTTAATTCGGTATCTATACCTAATTTATTCTTACAATTACAAGGATATTGCGCATGAGGTTGTCTTTCTAATTGGATCCAAGACTTTCTTACAAACCGTTTTCAATCAGTCCAAGTTGGCGATTTATTCAGTTTGTCAGAATATATCAGCAATGGTGTACCTCAAGGTTCCCCTCACTTTCTTGTTCATACTAAATATCTTAGACGATGTCAAGGTCTTCACGTTCTCCAACAATTTACGAACTATATTTAATTTCATAAGCCAGTAGTCATCAAATTGGTTTTTACCGCTAACTTCAGAGCAAACGAAATTAATTAAAATCAGTGAGAACAATTCCAATAACTCCCTCAACATCCAGAACTATGAATTGGTTCCCTCCTCATTCATCCATCATCGAGGTGTCACAAGCAACCCAAGTTTTAAAGTTCATCATCACGTTTCCAGTATAGTTAAAGAAGCTAACGCCAGAACATCACTCACATTTCTTATCCCTACTTAGCAAAGTACATAATCTAAATTCGCCCAGCCAAAGATAAGAGTGTATCAGCCAATGACTTAAATCTACCTATTCCCCTTAGTCTTTCTCTAATCAATACGGTGATAACCGCTACGTCAATGTTGTTAAAAGTGTTCGAAGAAGATATACCCGTTTCGTCTTCAAGAGGCAATGTGGAAATTCAATAACGTATCCGAGTACCAGGAAAGATTATCAATATTAGGATTAGAGTCTTTAGAACTGCGAAGATTTAACATTGATCTTTTTGCAGCCTACAACATCATTCAACTTCAGTTTGATCTCCCAATGAAAGAATTTTTCGAATTTTCCTTAACCACTGCATAAATCCGGTAAATTAATTCCCTGTGTGAATGAAATTTTTGAAAAATAGCATTTAGTCTGTTGACCGAATAAGTTGACGATTAATGCTGTCAGGCCAAAATCTGACAAATAAAAACCTGCATACTTTTGCGATCCGATATATTTTCACGACTTTGCTCTGTATGCATATCTTGACGTTTACATTTCATCAACATCGCAGTCTTTCTAAGCAATGGCTTGAAGAACGAGTTCTGGTAAAAGCTTAGACGTCAAATGTCACCTTACTCCATTCGAAGATGAATTAGTAAATATACGACGCTATGAAAAATATAGCTCTCGACGCTGCTGAATTTTTTAGACTGATTTATTAACTGCATCGGCATCAGACATCGAAGCGACGAAGCCTAAAGACTCAAAATTATCATTCATAAAAAATAATGAGCCAGAATATAGGGAAAATAGACAAGGTTTTCGTGCTTTTCATAAGTGGATAAAATTATCAGCGTACTGTGGCTTTACAAAAATTGACTCAAGAGAAAGCGTTGTCGTTATTCGAACATCTGATTAGAGAATATCCGGGTGTGATGTAAATGAAACCTACAGGAAGCCATAAATGGTTAATGCGTTGTAAACGTAATCATACGATGAGAGTGTATCAATTAAGGAAACTGCAGCGTTAGGGTTATGTGACGCTGAGTTTCTTGCCGAACCTGCCCAGTTCAACATCACTGAATAATAGAGATCAGTTGATGCTAACAATAAGCAAAAAGAGATGGAAATGTAACAGGCTAAAAGGGTTCAGAAAAATTTTGCTCGTAAACTGTTGTTGGTTGCAAACTTTGTACGAGACTTCAAACTGAAATCGCATTTCGTTAATCAAGGAACAACATAAATGTATTCCTTTATATTAGATGGAGATCTGACTTAAAAGCTTATTGTTAGGTCACAGTTATAATTTCTAAAGATTGCTTGATTGCTTCTCCGGTTGTTTTCTCAGAGATGCAACGAACTATTGTGAAGGAAAAGGCATTCCAATCAAGATTCTCGTTATCTCAGATAACGCTCTCGACCATTCACAAAACATTACCATTCCTCTCAACTTCTTTTAGATGAATTTGATTGTTTTTTCTTACTAATGCTACCTTAGCCTATCTCCTTCCTAAAAGCACTCCTCCTCAGAAGAGAGTATCAGTTTTGTCTTGAAGGTGTGTTGTGCTAACATGTATGCTAACATGGGACAGGTAGCGGTTTAATGTTAATGAATCCAGCATTCTTACAAAAGAAGCAAAATATGGCTGCGACAATAATCAATATGGAATTTTTCAACGAGAATTATTTAGAATGCTTTCTCACCTGTTTATAGGTAACTAATAGCACGCTACTCAATGCTGTTTGGCATAGCCTCACATTCAGTCTGAACTTATGCAAACATTTACACCACACCTGCCTTAACCTCGTGGTGAACTTGTTAGGTTTCTCACACCCGTGAGTACCTTTGGTTTTTGGTGAGGCCACCTCGAATACATTCACGCCTTTAAACTTTGCCCACGCCAATCAGTTACCATCGGCATTTGATAGTGCAACTTTGAATACGGCAGNGCGCGTTTGGCTCTAGCCTATGCTATTCGAGTCGTGCCACTTCTAGTGACATCATTTAACGAAAACATGAACGCCAATTTAAAAATTGTGAAGGGAATAAAGACACAACCAGCTGTAAAAATCGAAAGAAACGGACACATGCATCCATCAAGTAACAAGAATTGTTCAATGAGAATAGTCATAGCTTTATTCCCTAAGTGTCAAAAATTGAATGAATCGTAGTATTAGGAAAGTATAAGTGATCAAGAGTGATCAATACCTCAGGGTTTTTCTTGCTAGCATACATAAGACACGGATCGATAAGCCCCCGAAGAAATCAAATAACGCTACAGCCCTTACTTGATTGAATTTTGAAAAGTGAAGCGTGATGAAAGGCATCAAAGTTGAATATTAAGTACAACGACCAATGCTAAATCATGAGAACCCAACATCCGTGCGATTGCAATAGAACAATCATCTCTACCTTTCTGAATCTGGATTTGTTGCAAGCACATTGAGCGATTGGTTTATCAATAGTTGCGCGTTAACTGTCGTTCTGAACATTTAAACTCCCATTTAGTGACATTGCTACTCGACTGTGTTTAATCATAGAAAATCTTTATGACAAGTAATATTCGTTGTTGCTTAGCTGTAGAATTATTTACATGCCTATCGTTATGGTTTCAATAAGTCTTATCATTTACTGGTTTACAGCTATCTGTCAAACATATAGCTATAAACCAGTAAATGATGACTTGTTGAAACCATAACCAGTAAATGATAAGACTCATTGAAACCATATCAAAAAGTCATATCACTTACTGGTTTACAGCAAGAGAGAAATTTTCATTCAATTCAACAGCTGCTCCAAACGATCTTTGCGCGCATGATTCCCCGATCAATCGGGATGCACTTTAGGATTCATTTCAAGCCGCTCTTTCTAGAAATCAATGGGCAGTATGGAAGAATAGCCTGTTTAATAGCCAAATCAATAACAGACATCAGATTCCCATTAAGACGAACGATCCCCACCGCAGTTATTGTTAGGTGTGTGGAAAGGAGTCCGTAGGCGAATGGAGGATGTGATAACAGAGAGGCAGGCATGAACTCTTACTGATTACATGAACAACTAAACAAACCCTGCTGTAAATTAATCAATGGAACATTCGTATTTCTGCATATTTATTACATTCAAATAATATCAAATATATTAACAAACATAAAACGTAACATTCAACATAAGCAAATTGTGCTACGAAGTTGCATTTGTTATCAACTAAACAATAATCTGCTAGAAAGACGAACAAAAATTCGAACTGTGTGCAAGAGAGAAATTTTCATTCAATTCATACGTCAGCAAGTTCAGCCGATTACCGCATCTTTGTGAAGTGACCCCCATTTAGTATCAAGCAACAGACACGTTCTCAGTGCTCACTGAAAACAATTCGTTTCAACTGTTCTACATCAGTGATTGTACAGTTGCTCTTCTCATTGCGCCATTAATCCCTCATTGATGTCCTTCTCTGAGCGAACACATTATATCCATCAATATTATTCACTCGAATTGCTACGAAAAATTCTGCAACAGCTCGATCCCAACTAGCAGCATCGGCTGAAACAACAAAATAACAATGAAACAATTTGGCATTTTGTTATCAGTGGCCAAAATTTCAGGTACATAACGAGGAATCACAATACGACACGTTTTTTACAATTCATCTTCCTCGTAATGACAATAATGATAACAATAATAGGAATAATAATAACATTAATAATAGAAATACATAAATAGCCGTTTAAATCAGAGAAAAGAACAAATAAAATGAGTATTACTGCAAGTTATGCATGACCATGAGCGGGAAGAAGCTTCAAAAAAGCTCATATTTTCAGTGAGGATTACAAAATGAAGCTGCAGGGCAGTAGCCCATTCTAGATCAAATGATGCAATCACAAGAGTGTTTGTTGCTAAGAGTTAAGAATGATTCGTTAAATAACATGGTACGAGAAGCAGAACTTGCAAGAGTGGTAGCAGAGCATAAGCTCAACAAACGAACAACAACAACAAAACAAACGAACAAATTCATCTCAAAAGAACGATAAACCCGTTGAATGAAGCGCCGATTGAATTGAATGAATACGTAATCAAGCAGAGCATAGAAGAGCACAACACGGCACACAACACACAAATACAAACCAAACCGATGGCAAGCGCGCTTTGTGTTCCACACATGCATCATTATTAATATTATAAACTGGTTCACGAAAGCGGTCGGCTGATTAAATGATAGAAGTGTAATTGAATGAGTGACAAATTCATTTAAGTACAATCACCACGAATGATGTCTAGCACACTCGATGCAAGTAAGTGTATTTACAGATCAGTCAAGCACATTGTTTTTCGAGTTTACAGCAACCGTTATGCGAGCAAACTCTAGGCAGAAAATAAAACGATAGCAAACGGCCTATAGATTGACATGATGAAAGGTACCAGACTACAACTGATGAATACAATTAGAACAGAGCAACGGCTTAGATGGAACGGCACGATTAGGCATATTCAGGTCCGAAGTCAGGAATGTTCTGATCTTTGTAGCCCTTGAGCCAGTAGGTTGTTTGCTTGCCTTTGCCTTTCATCTCCACTTCACCGCGTAAGACCAGTCGAAAGCCGGCTTCTTTGTCAAGAATCTCCTTTGTCTGCTTGCTCACATGTATTCTTAACGCTAAAAATTTATTACCGCTACATTCTGAGTAAACAGTCGCTTATTCTGAGCGAAATGTAAGTTCAGCAATTTTCTTCTCTAACCACAGCTACTTCAATGATGCATTTCATGGCACAATATCAAATGTTTGGGATAGCTTATAACTCTAAGACAACTAAAACTGAACCTACTCACCGGGCGATAAATCAATCTACTCTGACTGCATACAATATACTACTCAAGAATAAAAGAAGAAAATAACGCACGCAAGCCATTGCTCTCCATTCGACTACTTGTATTCACAGTATCACCAAACAAGCAATATCGTGGCATTTTCGAGCCCACTACGCCGGCTACAACCGAACCTGAAACATAAATCCAATTTGTACAACTGCAACATTAATCGAATTAATCATAAACTTGGGGGTTTGCAAGAGTGCTGGCTGATAATCGACTGACCTGAATGTATTCCAATACGCAATTTCAATTGCTCATCAGGCCGATGCCTGATGACAAAATTCTTGACTTTATGTAAGAGAGCCAGCGCCATCTGTGCAATTTGTGATGCATGCTGATCATGTCTATCAGGTAAGCCCGATACAACCATGTACGCATCACCGATTGTCTCAACCTTATACACTCTGAAGTTGTCAACAACGCCATCGAATGCCATGTACAAGTCATTCAACAATGTCACTACCTGAAACTTCATTCAGTTTATTGCTAGACTGCACTACACTAGATAACCACCGTAAAGTACAACAAAACATGAAAACACCATTGGGAAACATCATTTATTTATTAAAATGGTTAAGCTAATAACGCCCTTAAGACACAATTACGTTCTTTCATTCACACTTGGAATTTATAATCCAATATTACAATCACAACAATAATTACACAATACAATTGTAATTTGACGCTGACACAATCCTTTCCCATCACTGATAATACATGTGATCAGAAACCTACACCGTGGTCAATTTCATTGCAATTCTGACTAACAATAAGATATTCACACTGAGTAGAAAAGAAAAAAAATTAGAATAAAGAACGATAATGAATAAATGGTTATCGAAATGTTGATTATTCGAACGAAATTTACGACACTACTAACAGTAAGAGAAAAAACTTACACTCAAATAAGTCAAACATGACTAGCGTTGAACGCATGAGGAACGCATCACAATAATAAATAATGACTGATCAAAGATGGTTGTTCAACCACGACTAACCTGCATAGGAGTAGATACTGACGAAAGAGCTGTGAACCCAACAATATCCGAAAAATAAATTGTTACACTGTCAAACGCTTCCGCTTGTACTGCTCGACCACTAATCAGCTGAAAAAAAAAGCGATGATGGGAATCAGTAAGTCAGAGCGTAATGTCGCGATGGATTACATTTGAGCTTAGGCTTAGACTGAGGCTCATATCGGAACTGGGTCTATTAAACGAACAAACGATTCTATCATACAAGGGTGAAATATCTATTCAACGAATAGATGGTTCTATCATACCAAGTGATGTATATATCAAATAAAAAGATGGTTCTGCCTTACCAAGATGAGGTATTTAGTGAAAATTTTGATGGTTCTGCCATAATACAGAGAGATATCCATCAGAAAAATAGATAGTTCTATTGAGGCTCATAACTTCTGTATTTTTAATAGCTACCTCATCATTATACCGGAGTGAGGTAGCTATTAAAAATACAGAAGTTATGAGCCTCAATCTGAGCCTAAGCACAAATCTAATGCACCATGATATCCTGCTTTGCTTAATGGTACTGAAAACAATGAGGATGGAGCTTCAGCCTATGCCTTAGCGTAGGAAGTTTATATCCGTGTACATTTATATCTTTGTTTGCAGCTTGACTGACACTAATATGTGGTACATTCAAACACAACCTGGTCGGCCACTGATGGCGGTAGTAGCTGGTGTAAGAGGTCTTCAACTTTTTTCTTCTCAGCGTAATATTCCTGCGTTCGCTCTTCAACCAGTCCCTCGAGATTATTCGCATACTGTTCCATGCGTTTCAATAAATTGTCCACCAAATTCGACGTCTCATTGTTTCTAGTGAAAGTGATGAATCATAATCCTTTCAATTACGATAAACAAACTGATACAGTTCAAATACAAATGGGTGCAATAATTATCGCGAATAGGCTTATTCACGACTGTTTTCCTTGTTATGTATCATCTTCTCTGTTGTGTATGTGTCTTATGTTTATTGCAATAACTGTGTCATACTAAGCCTTTGATGATTTTGACTGCTAATTACATTGTTGCGAAACATTCCTACGAAACATTGTTAGCAATCATGATTATGAATATTATTGTTATTGAATCGTGTGCATAAAGATATCATTGTTCCGTCTTCACCGCACATCAACGCTTTCATTACAATAATTATGTTTCACACCCCCCTTTACCGAACAATCGAAGGAACATGCATTCAGTTGATGAATACACTCATTCGTTCGACTCTACTCAACTCACTCCATTATACATTAAACAAGCAAAAAGTTCGAGTTAATATTATAAAGAAAATCATTCCTTTGACATCATCCTAATGAATGTGACACGATACGACTACAAGATCGGATCATAATTGAATGGATAAAATTCTTGGAAAAAATTCCACTCATCTACTTACTTGTTCAGAGAACGAACCACTTTTCGGATCACCGAGAAGTCGGGCCTATCGTGTGCATCTTCAGCCCAACAACTCCTCATGAGTTTCAGTAAGTTCGGGTCTACAGGATCAACACTGAGTGCTGATTCGGGGATTTGTGGTCGATAAAGCGCTTCCTCAGAGGTTGGCTCTTTCCTCACTCCATCGTAGATCACTTGAAATACACCACATTCATTAAGGTGTGAGGTTAAAAGGATGATATCATGAATGGAGGTGCAAAGAAACAGAACGAACTGGACAGTACCTTTGGGTGATGGTTCGTCTTCTTTATAAAAAACACCCTTCCGGAAAAGCATTTCATGAAGAATAATGGCAAAACTGTACGAGTCGCCTGCCTTGGTACCGTTCGGTGGAAATGCACTCGAATTTCGAAGTATTTCTGGTGCTGTCCATAACTTCTCTGAATTCATAACGTTCGGAAGAAGATAATCATGAAAATGAATAAAACGACAGACAAAAGGAGATGAGTTTGCGAGTGTGTTTAACTTTGCAGAGAAGCAAAAATAAATACACAAATGAAAATAACGATTGCAAACTTTTATAGAAGGCATGTTCGCCAATTTCTTCGATGTTTTCGTCTTCCATGGCGTGCAATTCATGAAAACCAAAATCAGTGACTTTGAGCACGAATCGACTATCAACCACACAATTAGATGACTTCAGTTTGCCGTGAGAACCAACGTAACTATTATGTAGGAAGTACATTCCCTGCAAACAACAGTAAGACATCATGAAAGAATCACTGATAAATTAAATGAATCTATCGCAATTTTGACAAACTGCGATCGATGATGAGCTTAAGTGCATACAGTCAATGAGCATCTCAACGAATTCACCCACTATTGTCTCACAACAATAGTATCAGAGCACATACCTTAACAAGGTCGTGAAGCAGCGAGCATTTCATCATCCTATCCAGTTCAAGTTTTTCATTTTCTAGAATATCTTCAAGTGAACCTTTTGGACAATACTCTTGAACAAGACAGTAATGTGGACAATCAACACAAGCTCCTGTAAACCTGAAAAGAAACACTTATCATGATGTTGCACTCAAAAATGAAACTATGTTCACTTCTATATAAACGAAGGCATCAGTAATAACAAAGGAACAATCAAGTGCATACTGGAAATATGAGTGGTATGGAGCAGAATACGTGAAAAAAACAATGAACTGATATATGCTTAAATTAATGAGACAAACAAACCTGGTAATGTGATCATGTTGCAAATCCTTCATCTTCTTGAATTCCATTAATAAGGCACGTGAGAGCTCAAGTTTTGGGTACTTTTTGGGATCAATATTCAACTTTTTTACTGCTACTATCGTACCCTACAAGAGATTAAACAGATGGATCAATCAAATTTCAACTGAAACTACACCACCTATTAGCCCTATCTGGACAATAATGCTACAAATAGAGCCTTTATTCGTTCGTTTATACATGAACACGACCTTTCCCCTCACCCACTGAATAATCTGTTGACCAGTTTGTCAAACCGATGATAGTCAGTCAACCCGTCCTCTCACCTGTTCACCATCCACTTACTAGTTCGCTCGTTGATTGCCTGCCATTACCGTCGACCCTTGCATTACCCACTAACCCTTTCATACGATTGAAAATCAAAATAAGTTTATCATCAACAAAAAAGTTTATCGCCGCCCCGTTATCTTATTGTCCCACCCGTTATAAGGCGTAATCCGTTAGTACACGTTCACAAATTCCCTAACCCATAACCGAGGAACACCATTAAATATTGCCAAAAAACATATCGACTGCATGAGATTAGCACGAGGGCAGGGAAAGCAAGAACGATTCGTCCTTATCCTCGCGGAGAAGCGAGGGGGGAAATTAATGTTACTATGCTAAGAGATAGATAAGAAATACACCAGACCATGGTAAATGTGCGTATCAATGGAAAAATACTGAAATTAAGAACATCTGAGCACCAAATTAATGAAAAACATCGCACGAATAAAATTATTTCGATACCAAACCATGAACATTGCAAGCTAAACGTACTACAGCACCCTAGGACAGCCAACGGCAACCTCCTGCCCGTGGGCCAAAATTGGGGCCCGTCTTCAATAATATCTGGCCCATCAGATGAAATTGAGATTCTGATTTTAAAGAGGTAAAAAAGAAAAGAAAAAAGGTTTTAAATTATTTAGCTACTTAAAATTATTATTTTAAATTATCATGAGCATTAAGAATAGATTGAGCTCTTTGGTACGACAGAAAAGATCATTGCTTTCAGACTTTATTCCATAGTTCAGATTCATTTTCATCCCTCCGATGACCTTTTACCTATTCATTAACCATCACTTTGATGAAATGATTGCTTTTCCATTCATCTCGATGATAATTTCTCAAATGTTCGTTGCATCTTTTTTCTTCATAAGTAATTGAACTTGTTGTTAAATTTAATATTTATCGCTGAAGAATGTTTTTCTCACTGCTCTTCGTTTTTGATTGCCGAGGTTCATACTGTTTCTGCAGTGGATAAATAAAGTTCTAAAAATATTTGTTTCATTCCAGAAAATTAATTTTTTTCACGCCATAAGAGGAATTTCCGCACCGGTTTTCCGTTTGTTCCTGACGTTATACGCAGAAATAGTAAGTTCTTGTATCAGGAGAGGAGAGGTGTAACGGTGGCCGGCCAGATCATCAAAAGGGGTAATGGAGTACCCGAGCGTGAGAACCACTGTTGTAGAGTATTTCCTAATAGACAGACGACTGCGGGCTCCGTCATATCAAATTGAACGCAAATAATTGTGCACTTATCGAATTCCTCATTTTAGCGAATAATTTCTTTTTTTTTGGTAAACACAAAAACGACAATGTCACTGGATTTCTGGTTGATAAGATGTTTTGGCCTGCCGGTCAGTTGTTTGGAAAAATTTTGACCCGAGGCCAAATTTACTTGCCGGTGGCTGCCCTAGGAACTCGCATCTAAAGAAAGTTAACAAATATTTTTTTGTTCCAGAACTGATGCGGAGGTTGGCGCGGAAATCCCGAACCTACGTAACTCTCGAACTGCCGGTCCACGCAGAAGCGAAGAGAAATAATCATTCCCCATGGTAATCTTATCATGTACAAAGTTAGTCTGAATCAACAACTCACCTTGTACATAGCAGTTTTCGTATAGATTTGAGCATTGTTCTGCATTTGTATCGTTTCCACAGATCCACAACTCTGAAAAATAAATGTGGGTATCAAACGTTGCACTAGTATTAAGTTTGCCTCCGTTATGAAAGTTTAAAAACTATCTATACAAAAAAAGGTGTTGCGAGTTTTGAATGCTAACATAACAAAATGATTAAAAATGGGGAAGAAAAATAGAAATAACCTTGATGCTGAGCTCACCAAAGGAAGGTTTACGGTTACGGGATGAGATGCTCTTCTTGGTTGGCAGTTCATAAAACTCGTCCTCGTTAGAGGACTTCTTCTTTTTCGACGAAATATCTGAACTGGCAATGGAGAGAGGCGATGAAACACGTCGATGATCAGCTACTGCTGCTGCTTCTAGATCTGAATCTTTGAAATGAACACCGCCGACGTTTGACGAGAACACTGAACGCGAGCTACTATCTACCTGCAAGTATTCTTTCGAGTCCCATCAAATTGCTACCCAATCAAGTGAAATTACGAAATACGCCCAACTTTAGGGAAGCAGAAAATGAGCACGTACCCTAAATGAAACGATGTTGGGCTCATCCCCACCGATTCGTATTTGGGATTGCAGTTAGGAAAAGCGAGATATTTTTTCGGTGGCCACCAACCGAACACTCTATCAGCGGCAACCGACAAATCAAATTTTGAGTAACGGTCGGTTTCGTCGATGGTGATCGAAATTCAGTTTACCGAGGCTATCGACCGATCAGTCATTTTCAATCAGTAGCTACCGATTTTCGGTTGCCATCGAAACTTGATCTCCTTCAGTTCCAGTCAGTGGCACGGAAGATTGGTCCTCGCTTGCCACCGACCAAACAGACCCTTTCGATTGCGGTTCTTTTCACGATGGCATCAAAAACCAAATTTGCCCGATCTCATTCGACGAGCACTTTTTTGTCAGCTCCAATCAAGGGACAAAAAGTGGCAGCTTGCCGTACCACCACTCTTAATGCATCACTGTCTTCTAGACTGACATATCTCTGAGTACCCGGTCATAAGCAAGATCAAATTCCATGAACTATAGCAGTATTTTCTCATAGGGGGTAAAAATTTTGGGTATCAGGAGAGTACTTGAGGGCATAAATAAACCCATTGATAAATTTCATTTTTTCATTACTTTTCGTTGTTAAATGCTGAGGTTCATATTCTTTCCACAATTGATAAATAAAGTTCTAAGTTGCTCTTTGTGTTTCATTGCAGAGAATTAAATTTTTTCACGCCACCGAGTATTTTTAGGACCGGTTATCGAGTTGCTCTTAACATTATGCGCGAAAACATTGAATTCCTGTACTAGGGGAAAGGGAATGGGTAATGACGGCCTGCCACATCATCGAAGGAGATAATGGAGCTACCAAGCCTTAGAAGCATTGACTTATAGCGATGGCTTGGAAATGCAGAAGCGAAAGGAATTTCTTATCATGCTGATGGTGGCGCAGTTTATCGGCGTTATTCTCCTTCACAGTATCCCAGAACAATTATCACATTCTTTTCAAGCCTATTAACATGAGCATCAAATCAAAACAACTAATAAGCAAAACAAAAGTTTCGCTTGCCTGTATGGCAAATTCACACAGCTACAAGCAATGGAGCAAATGATCGAACCGTTTCAAGGGAATGTTTACTTCACATCCTTCATCCTCAACCATATACGCTCAACTCAGGCTCTATCATAAACCTCAATCTGTCGCAAAACCAAATAGTTTTTCTAGGTTAAAACTGCTTTTGTTTGACGAAATATATTGGAATAAACTGATCCAATGACTGAAACGAGCCCTTTAATGGCTGCAACAAATTTGCTTGAGACTGCATATTTCGCGAATAGATCTCCAACATTCACCCGTACAGACAAGAAGAGAAACAGACATAACATGACATCCGCAGGAAACAATAACACAGCCTTATCCCTGTATGACCTGCACTTGTCGGTTAGATGTCACAATTACATGCTGTCATTTTTCGTGACCAGTTATTTCGTTTCGCAACAGTTCGCCTAATGACATCCCGTCCAATCACATTTTGCCCAAAGACATTCCGCCTAACACGCGTCCGAGAGTACTAGCTCCAGGCATTCAAGTGTTGCCCGAATTATAACTCGTCTCAAAAGTTTGTGATCTTTCCTTGTAAGTCTGATGTTTGGACTTAGGCTGAAGTTCACCTCTTGGCCACGGCCGAACCTTTGGTAACGCTGTGGCTAATCGTCAGGAGGAGTTCCCTTTCTGAAACTCTGCGGACTAATAGTAAGGGAGGTTTGTATAATAACAGAGGTTTTCAAATTATCGTATTTCGCAACGATGATTTACATAGTGTGAAGCCAAGCCTACCTTCGATGCATACTGTCTTGAAATTACTTCTTACTCCCGAAATAGAGTTTAAGGACTCGGAGGACTTGTTAATGCATAAGGATGATAATCTTGGGTGTCGTCAGAGGCCTACCATTCAATCCTAGCCGTTCCATATCCTCTATAATCACTAGGCGAAACGTCCAGCAGACGAAATGTCATTAGGCGAAATGAGACTAGACCAAATTTCATTGGGTGAATTAACCTATTTTCACATTGTCATCTTTTGCATCCCTCCAACTGGGAAATACATAGAATTACGTTCTAGCAGTCGTTCCCACAAATTCACTTGTAACCGACCTCGCATTATTTCTGATGAAGCAGTGTTTCTTACGCTTCGAAGCTCCATCACCTCTTCGTTGGTCTAATACGTCGTCATTACCCCCTCCCTCCCAAAAGTATTTGTTATTTCCACGCACAGCGTCAGAATCAAAACGGAAACCAGTCTGAAAATTCCTCGGTGGCGTTAAAGTACCTTCCTGACACCCCCAACTTACCCCAGGGGTAATTTAACCCCTATGAGAAACAGTTACCTAAAGTATCGAACAGAGCATACTGCAGTGACAATAAAGGTTCATCGTTCGATGGCCATTGATGGATGCACGATTTGGTGGCCACCGACTGATGAATCGCGTCCGTTTTAGATTGGTGGCACCGGAATACGTTCTTCGCTTGCCACCGATCCAACTATATTTATTATGTGGTGATGCACTAGTTGCTGTGCCCAGCCCAGTGCTGATCTGCACAGTTGGAAAATTAGTTGATGTAAAGTAATGAGAGAGAGGAGCAGAGAAACATTACATACGGTAATATGGTTGTGATTGTTCATCGACTGGGACTTTTCTTGCGTTGGTGCTGACTTTTTGCGCGTGAAAATGCTGAACTTACGGTCTATAATTGCCGATATCTTGCGAGTAGCACCCGAACTCGAACTCCGCTGCAATGTAAATTGGCTTTCTTTAGTGACACCACTTCGTTTAAACAAAAAGAAAACATTTGAACACTCAAACACGCATGCCAAGTTGGAAGTGGAGTAATCAAGAAAGAAGCATCCTTGACTCGATTAATTTTTAATACAGCAGCTGTTCACATGCCTGCTTTTATCAAACCTCATCAACTGACTGATTCTTCAGGGTCAAAATGAACTTCGCACTCCCAAGTATAGTTGGATAAAAGCAAAGGATTATACTCGATAAAATACTGCAAGTCCATCACTAAGAAAACAAGAGACAGCATTAGGACACGACCGACTTAATAGGCTGTGACCCGTGCACAAATAAAAATGCCTGATAATTCCAATATCAGTAGTAGTTTTGTCATGTGAACTTTTCCGTTCTTTAAATGCTATGCGCGACATTTGATGCAACTCTGGAAAAAGAAATATTTTCTTCTGAAGTGGTATGCGAAGTATGATCGTAAAACTATTCTCAGAACTGGGAATCGTCAACAAGATAACTGATTACGAGCACCATCTACTGTAAAGAGATATATTGAAAGAAAAAGTTTAAATAAGATCAGTGACAAAAAATAATAATGATGAACATTTCTGAACAGATACCCAAACATATCTCAACTCAACTTATAATTTTGAGCCATGTGACTCATCCCGCGCCGTTTTCTCGATCCCTGATATTTTTCAAGGAAGGCGATTGCATTTTCAAAACCGAAGGGTTGAGTTCTATCACGAATGTTTGTAACAGAATATTTTTCTCTCAATTGCACAGTGATCGCGCACCGCACATCCTGTTGCCCCATGACTTCACACTAATGATGGGATCCGACCGACAGTCGGCCGGAAAAATCCGACAATGTCGGTCGGAATTCCGACGGTTGGATTCCAACCGAGCAATTTGGACCGGGCAACCGTAAGTTAGGCAAAATGTCCGTTCGGCAATGTGTCTTTAGGCAAACTGTCGTTAGGTTAAATGTCTTTAGGCAGATTGACCGGTCACGACTTCACACCATGCAGCCCCTTCCACACATATATCTGGTTGCTCCAGTCCACTGTTAGATCAAAGAGCATGGTACTTTTTCGAACGTTGGCTCTGATGTTAATGAACGCCCTAGGCAGCTATACACTCACTGTGGTGAAGCAGCTGACTGATTAGGAGCAACTAGTTGAACGAATCCGTATAACAATAACATTTCCGTATAACATATAACAACAATTGAATATTCAGTCATGAACCCTTTACCGCTCTAACAAATATAGTATCACTAAACAACTTTTTAACTCAGTAATTAGTATGATTGTAGGGTTTACTCACGAAATTCCTTCGTGACATTTTCAAACTCTACTTTAGTAGCAATCAACAGTGATGGTACTGTGCCAGCACAACTTTTTCCAAGAAGTGGGTGGGACAATTCCTTACTGCATCGAACTTCCAGAAACAAGTGACACAATCTGCCGATCCTCCAAAAACAAATGCACTGTACCGCAGTGTATCCTTAATAAAGGCATAGTATACTTTTACTGCACTAGGAATGTTAAAATTGATCAAACCGAGTACAAGCTTACCCTGAAGACGCGCAATAATATTAATTATAAGCAATCAAGTGCACAAGACTGAGTGTCAAACCTGCATGGGAAAAATGCGGTTAATTCTTAACTCAAATATGTATTTTAATCTTGCGCGAACTACAATAACAAATTTCGCTTACAATTAGTACAAATAGTATTTTTCTATGAATTCTGCACGTTTTGAAACTGGGACATCGCTCTACCCTGTGAGGTGTTTTGAAAAGTTCAGTATACCGTGCTGTACTCTGCACTCTTCATTTCTGTAAAATTCCGAACTGTACAGCACAAAAAGTACAAGCATTTCTTGGTACAATGACATTGCTGACATTTAAAACAATATCTTTCATCATTACTGATATTACAATTATTATGAAAACTGATATTTTCTTTGTAAACTTTGCGTTCTTTTAAAAAGTGACTTCAGCAGAATAATCGAAATCATTAGTTTTTGTTATGATAATGACTGCTTTCTTTGAACTATTTTCTTAAACGATGATATTCGAAATCATTATTGATATCATTATTACGATCACTGACACTGTTGCCAATACCAGAATTTAAAAAAAA